CACACTAGCCCCTTTAAAACAATCAATATTCATGTTGAGATCCCCTTCATATCCCTTAGGTCTCTCTTGGCTGAACCTGTATGAACAGGCTGTTTCTTTTCCAGTAGTTGAGATGCTGTTTTTATATAGATGTTAACTCCTAGATTCTTGGGTCAGGATTCAATCCAGATTACTCCATGAAAGGGCCTTCAGCTTCATTTGAATAATCTCAATGTCTATATATGAATTACACATAGCTCTTTTATGGAATTAAAAAAATAAAGGCCATTATCTATAAGTGTTCAAAAGTTACAAATGGATTTTAATCTCAGGCAAGCATAATAAGCGAGTCGGTATTGGCAAAAGCTCCTCGAACATAAGGCAAGGTCAGACATAAGTGATTTGGTTTTTAGCTCTTTTGGGTTAATAATTCTCAGATCTTCCTTGTTAACATCCAGGTCGAAGTTGACTCAAAGTCTGGATTGCATGTGTAGTACTTTATAATGCACTTCCACGTGGAGCATCTTGTTCGATGTTCACAGTTCAGTGAGGAAGGTATTGTTACTGATTTACAGATGAAGAAATGAAAGCTGCAAGTTAACAAATTGGAGAATAAAGCATGTACTGTTTTCCCACTCCAGAGGCCTTGCTTCCTTTTAGGCCCTGCTACTTGCAGGGTCTCTCTCCAACTTAACGGTAAGTACCTCAACATGCAAGTGCTCTCTCTCACTAAGCCTGAATGCAGTTCCTGAATTGAGCCACCTGCCTCAGTGGTCCTGTGCTGTTGCACATGCTGCCCCCATACCTGGAAAGACCTCCCTGACCCTGGCCCCCTTTACTTGGTTACTTCCTACCTTCATTTTAAGATCTGTTAGAAAAATCTTACGTGAAGGGACAGGATCCGCTCACGTGTTCCTTCTGTTGTGCTCCAGCACTGATCACAGAGTGATTATCACCTGCTATCTGAACAGACTCTTGTATATCGTATCCATACAGTTGGTAGTGTATTTTGAAAAGATCAAAGAAAGGACTCTTAAGAGAGTCAAGGCATTCAAAGAGTATTAGATATCAAACACTAATACTTGGTAAGATCTCATTTCAAAGAAAAGCAATGAATCCTATTGAATATTTCTGAAACCCATGCTAGAAATTTTGCTTTAGAAAAAAGAAATCTCTTAATGGGTGTATGCTACTATTAAGTGGGTACATTTTGTATTTTTCTAATCTTTGTAGTTAAACCATGGGAGGGGAAAAAAATAAAGGATAATTTAACACAGTTCAGGAGAAACAGGGAGCCTAATATGGAGTTCTAATCAATGTCTGCTGAAAGCTGAGTAATAAAAATCTTGACCTTTTCCAAAAAAAAAAATTTTTCCCTATACATTAAATAACATGGATGGTAGATATACAAAGGCTGGCAAACACTCTGACGGATTGCAAAAACAGAATTCTCACCACAGGGAAGCTATCTTAAGGCCATGAAGAAGTCACATTATATCGCACATCTTATGTTTTTTTCAAACGAATCAAATAATTACTGTGAATTTTAATGCAATTTATGTGAATGATGTCCTTCTTCAAAGGCTTATGAACTTTAATATAATCTCAAAGAAGCTATAGCGCTCCTGAAAGAACATGGAGTTTCTTTTTGTTACTGTCTTGAATTTTCCAACGTTCCCGTAATGAACATGAAATATTTTTGTGGAAAAACATTTAAATAAGAAAATAAAAAATAATAGTCACTTTCCATCCAGTTGATGCTGTTCAATAGAGGCACTGTCACATCATCTGCCATTTGAAGAAACTAAGTAATACCCTGTACAAACGGAAGTTCATCTACAAGTTGAAAATTTCTTTGACTAGCTGGACCCCAATCTGATGATGCTTGTTTAAGCACTTTAGAGCTACTGAAAAAGAATCCAAGATTTAGGAACCACTGATGTGGTAGCAAAGCTCTACTTTGGAGGGTGTAAAATTTATCAAACATTATTAAGTATACGTACATTTTAATTATAAAAGGAATACTTATGTACTTAACACCCAGTTAAAAACTGAAACAGGAATGTTCAAGCATCCAGGTTCCTCCTGGATTGTATTCTCTTAGAAGTGATCACCAGCCTAACTCTTGCATGAATTATGCCTATGCTTTTATTGTTTTGCCACACATGTATCTAATATTATTTTTGTTTTGTTTGTTTTTAGGCTATTTACAAATGGCATATAAATTTACACATATATATACACACACCACCTTGGATAACTTAGTGTTTTATTCTTCGCATTATATTTGAGATTCATTCCTATTGACATGTGAATAGATCATTTTAATTCCTGTACAATATTCCACTACATGGAAATAGTTCATTTCATCCATTCTGCTGGTGGTCCGTTAGATTGTTTTCAGCTCCCTTCACTGGGTACAAATAATGCTTCCAGGACATTCTTGTAATTATTTTCCCTTGCATATTTACACAGACATTTTTTAGGGTAAAATTATTGGTTGCAGGGACTACATACTTTAAAATGTATTAGGCAATAACAAATTATTTTCCAACATGGCTGTACCAATTTATACTGCTACTACAATTTGATGAGAGTTCTTGTTGCTCCCTGTTTTCACAAATTCTTATTATCAGACTTGTACATTTTGTCAAATGATATTTTCATTTCCCTAATTTTCTTCTGAAAGTTTTAAAGTTCTGCCTTTCTCATTAAAGTCCTTGACCATCTTAATTTGGCTTTTGTATATGAAGTTATATTCCTATCCATTCTTTTTAAATTTTCCTTGTATTTATCATGGTTAATAAGAATTTTCAGAGATTTTTTTCTTCTCCCTTATCTCTAACCCCACCCCTTTTGAGGAGACTCAGTGGATTTATCAAAAAATATGAACAGGGCCCCAAGGAATATACTTCCTAAATAATAAGAATATAGGTGAGTTTTTATTGGACAATAGTGGACACGTATAAAGCTCTGTTAGTTCATGGGAGACCAAAAACTACTTAAAATTTAATAATTCTGTTTTCCTTATACTATAAAAAGCAGTCCATATTAGATCAGTAATAAGGTTAAAGAAGTTTCACACATAACAAAATTTACAAAGTTGATGGTGTCCAAACATGAAATTATGGTTAGTAAATCCTTATTTAAACAGCTGAAGAAGCATTGAGAGTTTTAAACTTGGTATTTAATGTTAAATAGGCATACTGGATGTGGCACAAAGTAGATGACGATTTTACACAGCCTGAAGCAAAATCTCCAGCCTACTGAGTAGTAAGAATACACAAGCTCATATGGCAGTTATCAGCTTCCCTTAACAGTGAATAACAAGACAGAGTTGCTGACAGTGAGCGTCTGTAACACCATCTCAGGGCTAGGCGGGGCATCCACAAATGCGGGTGAATGTCAAGAGGTGAGACATGAGAGGAAATGTATATGCATAAGTACCCAACCACGCAAACCATGGTATCAATGCAAATTAAAGTAATAATGAGTACCATTTTGGGTTGTCACAAATTAGCAAAAAATATTTTCAATAAGGCTAACCAATGCGAATGAGTGTTGTGAGAAGAGCATTGTCATACACTGATTATTGGTGGTACATACAATCCTTTGGCAGAAGTAATTTAAGGCAAACTGCTTTGAAGGCTTTATAGGTATCCACATTTTTTTTAAAGGAAATTTAACTTTATGGAATATACCTTAAGGAAATTATAAATTAAAAAGAATTCTTAATGTACTAAGATATTCATTGCTATGTTCTATATTTACCTCCATGTAGTGGCAAAAATGGAAATAGCTAAACAAAAAGATATATTTATGTACAGAGATATCCATGCTTATATTTATATACAAAACAGGATATTACATAGTCTTTAAAAATAGTCTTTGTATAACAGTTCCATATTTATTATATGAAGAACAAAGCATACAATGGTTTATATTAAAAGAAGAAAACAAGCAAAAAAATTATGCCTAAAGGCTGGAAGAAAACCATGAAATGTTAATGGTGCCTGGTGAATATTTTCCCTTCTTTCAAATTTCCTGTTTTTTTCCAAAACTAATTTTCCATAGTAAGTTTGTGTTGCTTGTATAATAGAAATGTAGAAAATATAAGCATAATTTTATTATGAAAAGTACTGCTTTTTGATGTGCTATTAGCAGCAAGAGTGCAACACATATTATTCACTGAAGCTGTACATCAGCTTCTGACAACTGGATGAGGGAGGGGGCGGCTCAGCTCGTGCACAACTCACTTCTATCATGGTTTCAGGTAAGTGTCCAAAAATATAACCATAGGAAGATGCTTCCTTGCATTGAGGAAAAACCTATCCATCACTCAACCCACAACATTCTTGCATAGTTTTCAGATTTAAAAAAATAAACAACATATGGAAGCAAGAATCCAATAGGATAATTCATATAAAAGTAAGTAACAGTTCGGTATTCTTGTTTACTGACACTAAATAAAGGTAAGACTATTTGGAATTATGAGATGAGATAACCTATAGTGTAACATATTACTAAACTGGTTATTAGCGGGTGAGGGAGAGGGAACAAAAGGAACTAACATTTGTCAAGTGCTTGTATGTGCTTTAACACATTATCTCGTGAATCCTAAAATGACCCTGCCAAGTACATACTGTGAGTTCTTATTTACAGGTGAAGAAACTGAGGTTGATAGGGTCAAGTAACATGACCAAGCATAGTGCCTGGCATACAGTAACTGCTCAATAAATATTTTTGGATGGATGGTAGGTAATATACCTAGTCAGTGGAAGTGTCAGGATTCAAACTTAGATCCGTCTGGTTACAAAGCACACATTATTTCCACCACACTACACTGCCTTCTGTGTGGGTATACCCAGAATTGTTTTAAAATGGCTAAGAAAGATCACTGCCAATGTAAATATGGTTAATAAATCCAGGACACTATGATTTCTACCTTCATGTCAGAATGAATTCAATTTCTAAATGTATTCTTGGTAAAGAACGAGGAAAGAAAACACACAAAGGATCTTCAAGGGCTTTTTTAATGTTAAACATAAATAGCACATGAAAATAACATGAATCCACGTTAATAAATTATATTTATACGAAACATTTTTAGTTAATACATTTTTAGTTAATCCATTTTTGTTGTTAAATTCTACCAACTTCTTTAAAATGTTGCCTATGAAAAATGTGTTAATTTAATTTCACGAATGTTAGAGGTTGTATCTCTTTTCCCTTTTTGCCTCACACTGACACCAAAACAAATTGTTTGAAAATGCTAAAATAAGTAAAATATGTCATGCTCTCTTAGCTGATTTGTATCTTGTATTAAAATATTTTACAACTATAAAAGTTGAAAATAATTTTGTTTCCCTATATATAAATCCATGTAACTATATTTATATTGAATATTTTATTAGTTAATACAGTTCTTTTACAAAATTCTACCAACTTTTAAAAAATATTTCTTATGAAAATATCATCCAAAATGTATTTCAATTTTTATGAATGTTAGGTATCATGTCTCCTTTTCCTCTTTGCCCCATACTTATAACAAGATGAATTATTTGAAAATGCAAATATAAATAAAACTTGGTATGCTTTCTTAGCTGTTTTGTATCTTGTATTAAAATATTTTACGACTATAATAGTTGAAAAATAATTTTATTGGTCTTCCTGTATATATTTTATATATATATATATAATTTTCTACTATTATAAATGAACTAATCTATGGAATTAAGTCATTTTGTTATCTCAAATGTAGAGGGTCAAAAACATAAGGGAATTACAAGAATTCCAAGATGATTAAAGAAGATGTACATTAAAATACTACAGATATGGCATATTTAATATATACCAAGCAGAGAGAGGATGTTTATCTTTCCATTTGGCCACAATCTCTTCAAGATAACTATTTACCACTTTTCAAAGCATTATTATTGGAAGGTTTTATATTGGGGAAGAGGATTTATAAAACATCACCTTCCTCATCCAAAACCAAAAGAAATGAAGACTTAAAAACATACTATTACAAAAGATGGTGACCAAAAAAAGAGACTATGTCCAAGGAGCCATAGGGCTGTCAAGATGAAAATGCCTTTGCTTCATTCAAGACCTAGACTCTTACAGTCTCATTTGATACATTTAACTGGATTTTCTTTTCTGATTATGTTTAACCCCTGAATTTGGCTGCGTCCTGTAACAATTTTTACTTTACTTGGATATTAAAAGAAAAACCACTGGATTCCGAAGACAGATTAATAACTTGGTGAACTTAAGTTGAGAACTAATCAGTGTTTCGAAAATACCTGGTTGGATAAATAAATTTAAAGAGATTCAAAACATTACAAAATAAGCTTTAAAAAAAACTTTAAATGATAATAAAGTCATTAAAAGCTATTAAAGATCTTTCCTGAAGGCTAGTAAAAGCAAAAACAACCTTAAAAAACTCATGGTTACAAACAAATTTTCTCACAGAGGTAAAGAGGTTGTGATCAGTACTGGGATCTTAAGGAAGTGTCATTTCAGAAACTGCATTAAGTCTGTTCTAAGTGGTTTAGAGTTTGAGCTGGTACCTCCTGGTACTAGAGAAAATCTGAAGTAATTCACCTAGTTGGATACAAAAGGACTTACAAATCCTTGACTTATTAAATTTCTTTGTTCTTTTACATATATATTTTCTTTAAAACTTTAAGATGAAGATTTGTTTATGGAGTATGAAATGATTTAGTCATTTATATGACAAGCTTAATAAGGTGGACATTCAATTGAAAATAATGAAATAATTTAATCAGAAAAACTTTAGATCATTTTTATTATCTTCTTTTTAAGGGTCCCTTATTAAAGCTTGTTTTTATTAATGTAAATAAACTAAAGTGGCTATCTTTGTCACACTTCTTTGCACCCCGGTGTAAAGGGTGGTCTTATTCTCAGTTAACCTTTAATACTCTGTACATACTATTCTGAAACACTGTGGTGAAGTAAGGCCTCGCATCCTTGAGCAAGACGCTACATAAGGGAGGGTTAGCTGAGTTGGAAGGGTCTTCCACATCCCAGATTTCAAGCATACTGCAACCTGGTCTGAAAAAAATAGGCACATATACATCTATATTAAAATGTATTCATATCTAGATGAAATATAATTACTAAGTGTTTTTTAGTTTTTAGAGACTAGTTTATTTAATAAATTAAGGATTTTAAAGCCTCATTTCAAAAAATATAATTTCAACATTTAAACTAAAAATCGAAGTATGCTGCATTTTCATATTCCACTTAACCAAATAACCAATATATTATTGAATCAAATAATCACGGCTCAGTGTACATTCATAAATATATTATTTATGAAATATAAATGAAATATAGTTTCTAAGTGATATTGCCATCCAAACATAAGGCCCATTTATAGTAGAAAGAGACAAATTAAAGGAAAGTTAATTTAATTCCTGATGAATTTCATATTTTTGAGCTTAAGTTGACTTGGATTAGCATGAAAACATATACAGCCCAAAGCAGGGAAGGGAAGTTCTTATGCCAACTTTATTCCCCTCAACCCTTTCCCCTTTGGGTAGTTCTATGAGTGGACTTGAATGAGATAATATTTCTCACTACAGAATAACCCTGAATGACAGTCATTAAAGGGAAGAAGTCAGGTAAAATTGGTTTCTATTTTTTTTAACAGCTATATTGAGGTATAATTTATGCACAATAAAATTCACCCATTTTACGTGTAAAGCTTGATAAGTATGGCAAATGTGTATAGGTATGTAAGCACCACCATAATTAAAATATAGAAAATTTCCAACACCCCAGCAAGTTCCCTTGTACCCCTTTAGGGTCAATCCCCTCTCCCAGACATAAGCCCAGGCAACCGCTGATTTCCTTTCTGCACCATAGTTCTGCTTTTCCAGTAGATGCTATCTAGTACATATCTAGTACACGTAACACACATGATTACTCACATGGTAGCATTTCTATCCTTTCTCCTTCAACCTTTCCTTCATGTATTCTTACTTAAAATGCAGCTTTTATAGGCAGAACATAGTTGGGTTTTGCTGTTGTATTCAGTCTGTCAATCTATGACATTTGACTGGAGTGTTTAGTCCCCATTCACATCTGCAAGTACTGATATGGTTTGATTTAGGATTGCCATTTTTCTTTTTTTTCTTCTATTTGTTTCGTATCTTTTTTGATCATCTGTTTCTCTTTCTTGATTTCTTTTTTGTCAAGTAAAAACTTTTTCTTATACCATTAATTAATCTATTGGCTTATTAGTTATTTTTTGCATTTTTAAAGTGGTTTGCTCTAGGAATTATAGCAGGCATCTTCAATGTATCACAATTTACTTAACATTAAAATTCGATTAAAACTGGATTATTTCCAAGGAGGAGTGCCAAAAGGGCACAGTAAGGCCCTGAGCTCACCTCCTCACATGGGCACACCAAAATTAAAACTATTTACAGAGCAACTATTGATGAGAAAGACCGGAATCTAGCAGAAAAGACCTTATACAACTAAAGATATAAAGAAGGAACCACAATGAGGCAGGTAAGAGGGGCATGGATGTGGTAAATCAAGACCCATATACCCAAGTGGGCAACCACAAATGGGAAGATAATTATAATTGCAGAGCAGCGAAGGATCAGGGCCCCACATCAGACTCCCCAGTCTAGGGGGTTCTGCTCCAGGAAGATGAGCCCCCAGGACATTTGGTTTTGAAGACAAGTGGGGTTTACTTCTGGGAGAGCCAGAGGGCTATAGGAATTAGAGACTCCACTCTTAAAGGGCACACACAAAATCTTGCACACTATGAGACCCAGGCAGAGCAGTGATCTGAAAGGAGCCTGGGTCAGACCTGCCTGCTGATCTTGGAGAGCCTCCTGGAGAGACAGGAAGCAACTGGAGCTCAGCTATTTTGAGGACCTTGTTCTATCATGTGGACACTGGTGCTGGCAAGTGCCACTGTGGAATTCTTCCTCTAGTTAGCACTGGGATCTGTCCTCACCCACCAGCCTGTTGGCACCAGGGTTGAGACAACTCAGGTCAAGCAGCTATCTTGGTGGGGACACAGCCCTGCCTACTAGCAGGCGAGCTGCCTTAGGACCCCCTGACTCCCCTGGACACACCCAGTGGACATCAGCCCCAGGACTGCCCCAGAGCCTGTCATGTCAGGACCCAGCAGGCTGACACTTCTCCTGGGACTCCCTGGCCTCTGGCTCCACTCACCAGCTAGCCAACATCAGCTTTGGCACACCCTGGACCCTGTACCCAGGTGCCTCAGCATCTGGCTTCACTCACCAGGGGCCAACAGCCTCCACACAAGGCAGGGAATGGCAACCACCAGGTCTAGGGGTCAGCCATGCCTACCAGACCACTCACAGTTCTCAGCCTGCCACAACAGAAGAGCTCACACAGCAAACACAGGGGGTACCCCTGAAGCTTATAGCTCTGGTGACCAGAGGGGAGTGCACTGCTGGGACCTACGAAGATGTCTACGAAGATGTCTCCTACGAAAGGCCATTTCTCCAAGATTGGAAAACATAACCAGACTACCAAATACATAGTAAAAATAACAGTCAATTAGGCAAAATGAGGTGACAGAGAAATATGTTCTAAACAAAGAAAAAAGATAAAAGATAAAAACCCCAGAAGAATAATTAAGTGTAGTGGAGATAAGCAATCTACCGAATAAAAAATTCAAGGTAATCATAAAAGATGCTCAAAGAACTTGGGAGAAGAATGGATGAACACAGTAAGAAGTTTAACAGAGAGACAGAAAATATAAAGAACTAAACAGCTATATAATACAAAAACTGAAATTAAAAACTACACCAGAAGGACCCAATGGTAGATTAAATGATACAGAAGGATGGATCAGCGAACTGGAAGACAAAGCAGTGGGAATCACTGACGCTACACAGAAAAAAGAAAAAAAATAATGAAAACAGTTTAAGAGACCTTTGAGAAAACATTAAGCATACTAACATTCTCATTTTAGGGGTCTCAGAAGAAGGAGAGAGAAAAAGGGGTAGAGAACATATTTGAAGTCATAATAGCTAAAAACTTCCCTAACTAGTGAAAAGAAATAGACATCCAGATCCAGGAAGCACAGAGAGTTTCAAATAGGATCAACCCAAAGAGGTTCACACCAAGACACACTGTAATTAAAATGGCAAAAAATTAAACATAAAAAGAGAATATTAAAAGCAGCAAAGTAAAAGCAACAAGTCACATACAAGTTTTGAGCTACTATGAATAAAGCTGCTCTCACATCCTTGCTGGAGAGATGTATTAATTTCTCTTGCTTAAATTCCTAGGAATGGAACTGCTGAGTGATAAGGTCAATATACACTTAAAGTTTTTTACGACGCCTCTAAATAGTTCTCCAAAATGGTTGTATCCTTTTCACTCCCATTAGCAATGTAACAGATTTACAATTATTCTGTATCCTCTCCGTTTGGTATTTTAGTTTTAAAATTTTTATCTGTTTAAGAGTATGTGTATTGGTATCTGTTGTGGTTTTAAATTGCAGGTCCTGAACATTAACAGTATTGAGCACCTTTTCATGTACTTATTGGTCATTTACACATATTCTTTGGTGAATTATGTTTTTCCAAGTCTTTTGTCCATTTTCAATTGTATTGTCATTTATTATTAATCTGTATAATTTCTTTATATATAAACTATACTTGTAAGTTCTTTGTCAGATACATGCTTTCAACGATTTCTTCCAGTCTATGGTTTGCCTTATTATTTTCTTAAAAATATCTTTTTGAGGAAAATATTTCAATTTTGATACATATAGTTTATTGATTTTTTTAGTGGCTAGTACTCTGTAGTCTAAGAAATCTTTATGATTTTTACATTTAGCTCTGTAATCCATGTCAAGTTAATCTCTGGGTATGATGTATTGTGGTATGAGTCACGGTTTAATTTTTCTTCTATATATTATATCCAGTTAGATCAGCAACATTGTTAAAAGACTCCTTTTCTATTCAAGCAAAAATAGTGTTTTTAAATTTCCTTTGTGGTTTTTTACTTCGACCCACAAATTATCCATAAGTTTATCACCTAATTCCCAAATATGAATAGACTTACTAGGTATCTATTTATTACTGTTTTCTATTTTAATTCTGTGCCATTTTAAATCTTTTAAACATATTGAGACCATTTTTACAGCCCAGCATGTGTTTTCTCTAGGTGAACATTCCACATGCCTCTTAAAACAAATGTGTATTCTGCAGCTGTTTCCTGCTGTGTTCTGTGTCAGTTGGGTCAGGTTATTTGATAACATTTGTTGTTCATCTCTTTTATATTCCTACTTTAAAAAAAACTAAGTACATTCAGTTTACAATGTTGTGTTAATTTCTGGTGTACAGCATAGTGATTCAGTTTTATATATATATATATATATATACACACACACACACACACACATACACACATACACACACACATATACATATATTCC